CAGCTCCATGGCCCCTTAATCCTCCTTGCGTCAACGAACATTGGCGCGAAGTGAGGGGGATTATAACCGAAGCCATGCGCAGGTTTGTACCCCGGACACTGGTTCGACCATTCAAACCGAAAAAGCGACTGCGTCGCCGTACCATTAAGACATTGGCACGAAAACGACGCGCTTGGAACCAATACCAATGGTCCCAGAGCTCTCAAGATTACGTGGCCTACGTTGAATTACGCAACCTCTGTAATCTGCAAAAAAAGCAAGACACTAGTGAACACCAAAGGCAGTTCTTAAACCGGGTCATTGCGGACCCGAGGAGTTTCTATAGGGACATCTCCATGGTGACCCAAGCGAAACCCGGGATCACAGACATCCGCCGTTCGGATGGATCCCTTACGGACGGAAACCAGGCTGCAGCTAACACTCTGGCTGAGTACTACTCCACGGTATTCAGCCCAGAACTTATTAGCGGGGTAGACGAAAACGGTCTTCCGGCAGTAGACTCCATACCAAGCAGGCTCATGGAACCCGTGTCTTTCTCTCCTGCGCAGGTGGGACTAAAACTCTCAAGCCTCGTAGCTAAGAAGTCACCGGGACTAGACGAGATACCACCCATTCTACTACAACAGTGCTCAGAGCAGTTAGCACTGCCCCTAAGCAAACTGTTCAACCACTCTATGGAGGTTGGCGTAGTCCCGGACGAGTGGAAGACATGCGTAGTCTCTCCCATATTCAAGTCGGGGGATCGCACCCTACCGAACAACTACCGTCCGGTAGCCCTACTCTCGGTGGTCTCCAAGGTAATGGAGGGACTCATTGACGACAAAATCAATGAGTTTGTCGAGCAGGATCGTTGCTTGCACGATGCCCAGCACGGGTTTCGTGGGAAGCGTTCCTGCCAAACCAACCTTATTGAGACGATGGAATGGTATACATGTGCTGCGGACAGAGGGGTACAACTGGACGTAGCCATGCTAGACTTTTCCAAGGCCTTCGATAGAGTTCGTCACTCCTTGCTGATAGAGAAGCTGACCAACCTGGGATTCCCCGAAACCATGATAGCTTGGATCTCAAACTATCTGTGCGACCGAACCTTTCGGGTTCGAGTGAACGGCGTCCTCTCGAATAGGTTTGGAGCACCTAGTGGTGTACCTAAGGGCTCTATCTTAGGCCCCAGACTGTTCACATTATTTGTGAGCAATTTACCCGTCGGCATACAATCAGACCTGCTGATGTATGCAGACGACATTAAGATCTGCCGGGAGATCCAAAGCCCGTTAGATAAGCGCACCCTGCAAGAGGACCTAGACAGGCTTTTTACCTGGTCGGTCGCCAACGGGCTGCCATTCAACATTGACAAATAAAAGGTTATACACATTGCAGGGCATTGTGCAAACGACTACTTGCTGGGAGGTAGAACACTGCAGAGGGTCAGGCGCGAAAGGGACCTGAACACAGTCATTACTGATGATCTGTCACAGGAAACTAACTGCAACACACTGGCCCGCAAGGCAATGTTCAAACTCAACCAACTCAGCCGACTCCTGGGAAAATTCACACCAGATTCTTTCCTCAAGATTTTTGCCACCCTCATTCGGCCACATTTGGAGATCAACATCCAGGCG